AAAAAAAGAGGCAGAAGGAGAGAAGGGATTTGGGGGGCGGGAGGGAAAGGGGAAGGAGGTGATGAACTTAAGCTCTACCAGACGTGAGGAGGACAATTCACGCGTTCTTCGTTAGACGAGGCCTGCCGTGTTACTAGCCACTCTCTTTGACTTAACGCCGCTGCACGGAGATCGCGTTGCCAGCGCGTGGCACAAAAACGAATCCGCACACACACCACACGCACACACCTTTAAAGAGGATCGAGGCCAATTCCCTGAAATGCCGAATATGTTTTGCAAAAAAGAAAAAGTACAGTTTACCCAAAATCATGTAAATTGGTGTGTTTTTGTTCGTGTGGTTTGTGTGATGTGTGTGTGTGTGTGTGTGTGTGTGTTGTGTGTTGTGTGTGTGTGTAAGGTGTTTTGGACATTTGTGGTTATTTGGAAGGGAATTGTATACAATCCTTGGTTTGTTTTTTTCGTGTGTGTGTGTGTGTGTGTGTGGTGTGTGTGTCCATCCAGCGGACTGGAAACTCTGTCACTATCAATTTCTTAATCGGGCCTACTCTGGATCATTGCCTCATTTCCGAAAGGGAGGAGACCACCAACACACACAACACACCCCTCCCAAACACACAACCAACGGCACCACATAAGAAGTAATTTGGGCCTGTTGTGGTGCAAGTGCGCAGGTTAGGTCTGTGTGAGTCTTAATGTGTGGTTTTGTGTGTTTGTTGGGCTTGTACCTTTGCTTATGGCTTCGCCGTCTCAGCAATCGGCTAATACGATGGACTCATCTTCTGCCCATTGCAACCGCCCCCAACGGTCTTATCCCCCCTCTCTCCTCTCCTCCCTCTAGACCTCCTTCTCCTCTCTCTCTCCCTCCTCCTCCCCCTCCTATTCATTACCACTTTCCTCTCACTTCCCCGTCTCCACTCCTGCCTCCAGTGCTTCTCTTTGTCACAGCCCCTCTCTTAACTCTTATCCCTTGTCGTTCTTGAGGTGAAGGCGGTTTGTCGTTTTTTTTTTTATTTTGTGTGTCATTTATGCCGCTCAGTGTAAACGTGTGTAGTGGTAATAAACGATGGGGGTTAAGTCTGACTGCTGTATGTAAACCAAATCATCTCTCCTCTCCGTAGGGACGTGTTTATGGCTTTCATTCCCCCCATGATCTACAACATGGGTTTATCTATGTATTAAGTCTGATTCATTCCCGCCAGATATCTCACAAAATTCTCTGAAAAATCTTGTTTATAGTAACTAGTAACAATGTTTTCAATGGGATTTTATGCTTGAAAGGGCACCAAGCGTTTTGTTTTCTGCTGTTAAGGGCACTTTCCAGCAGTTCATTCACCAAGTCATTTGGTGACACGGTCCATTGCAGAAATGCGCTCCTGCAATATAAAAAGGACAAATTCCAGAGCGCAGTGGCTAACTTGTGACCAAGGAAGATGATCGAAAACATTCTGGGGCGTGGCCGTCATGTCTGCTGGTAAATTCAACCACGTTTACGGCTCCATTCTCGCTCCACCCTTCACTATCTGAAAACACAGGTGGTAGTGGTGATGTACAAGCAGAGGGGCCCATCCTTGGTGTATAATGTTCATAGTTAGATGGAGTCACCAGATATCGCTCTATGTTGATCACTAGGTTGTGGTAGGAACCGCAGTATTAATTAATAACCTAGTAGGAAGGTCCGTGGCGCGTTGTGCGAAGGAGCACGTTTCGGAGAATTTGAAATCGTGCAGAATAGAGGGACAACTGTGACCCAGCAGAATCAAGTGATCGATTTTACCTCATACCTAGCTAGTGTCTTTGTCAACAGATGATACACCTGATCGTTAAAAAGTCCTGCTGATTAGGGAGTATTTCATATCATCATCCCCAGAACATTTTAATGATCGCCTATCATATGAAACAAAAACTTTCAGTATTAAAATGGGTCCATTATATGTTTCGAGCGGATAGTGATATAGAACACCCGAACAGTATGATTGCGGGAAGATGTGGAGATACCAGGGTTCGAAGGGTGGCGGCCGTGTGCTCAGTTGAAGGGCCGTATGTGCACAGTCACACGAGAGTAACCTGTAAGCTCACATTGGCACTCTACACCCGTCGTGAGGCAGTCAGGGATCACGCATAGCTGAGATCTGTGCTTGCGCACAATGTTTACCATCGAGTGAGAATTGTGCACGCTAATTCGCGTGTCAGAGAAGGAGCTGATGTGGGTATAGACAGGGGAGTCGGGATTGTTCGACCCGTTCCCCCGGCGACCGCGTACAACAGGAAGAACGCTCCAGTATCTTCATGATTATTCGTATGAGTCTCTCTACCTTTGATCGGCGAAAATGTCCACTGGTCCAATCCAAACACTGTGCGTTTACACACATGTTGGCCTCTCTCTCAATGTCACCGCTGTTCGACTGTGTTGTAAGCCGGAGCTTGACCTTCCCATTTTGCGCCAATTTTGAGCTATTTCAGCACAGAGGTGCCCAGAAGCGACCATTTAAAAGGGCTGTAATTTTTGCTTTCTCTGAGTGTGTTGCTGCACAGATAACCCTCCACCCTTCATCTCTCTCTCTCTCTCTTTTTCCCTCCTTCCCTCCCTCTCCTCACCTCACATTCCATCTCTCCAGTGCACTTTTTTCCAGAAACACAGATCAAGCAGCAAAGCACAAAGCGATCCTTTGACTCTAAAAATACGACTTGGGAGTAGGAAAGCCTCGCCGAGGACAAAGACCGACCCAGAGAAAAACAAAAAATTAAGAAATAAATAAATCTTCAAATGGAGAATGGTAAAAGTCAAGAAGCGAGGCATGAGTCTTGTGTTTTTCTTTTTCCCCCTTCCTTTTTTTCCCCCCTTCCTTTTTCTCCCCCCTAAGTGCATTATTGAGAGGCAACGGGCATGTGAGCAGAACATGGAAAATGCTTAATCCTACAACCACCACGCCTCCCTCCCCGAGCTGTAAAGACGGCATACAAGCACTCGTGCCATGCCCAAGTGAACATACACACTGAGGGTACGCACAAGAGAGTATACCCACCCATGCAGAGACACACAGAAAGGGGTATAGACACACACATAAGACTGAAACACACCTGCAGAGAAGACAGACTCTTAAAAACCCCACTACAGACAAACATACAGAGATGTAGTGTAAACCCTCTATAATTCATTTTACTTTTTTTTTTCACTTGCACAATGACTTTTATACTCTTTCTCAAGGCTGATATAAACATTTTCCTGGTATGCATCACAATTTGTGGAGTAAAAACCATGTTTGCTCCCAAAAGACTTCACAGAAAAAGAGAGAAATATATTGGAAAAATATAACTGAACAGATTTGCGCTCATATTTGTGGTGGTTAGCCTTACTGGAAGTCATACTGCTGTTTAACCAACCCTTCATAAACTGCTAAATCATTGCATATAACCAATGAACACACAGAGATGCACAAAAGTAGAATTATGTCCATTCCTGCAAATAAGAGCATGATTATAGATGCAAGTGCGTGCCAAATGCATGCCTTGGTGCACACACACTCACCATACATACATACACACACATTCTTACCAAGGCCCAGGATGGGGTGGTGCTCCACCAGTGTCCAGGCGTTGTCGTCCACACAGTGGCTCTTGTAGACCAGGAGCTGACAAACATCTCTGGCCGTCATGTCTGCTGGAATCTCCACCACTTTACCGGCTCCATCCTCGCTCCACACCTTCACTATCTGAAAACACAGGGGGATAGTGGTGAGAATATATGTTCATAAAAGCAGTAAATGTCATGTTTTCACAGGCTGGAGAAAGTCTATTAACAGTCGGAAGGCGTGCCTTCTCCTGAACCACTTTCGGGAATTTGAATCTGCAGAATAGAGGGACAACGTAACAGATCAGAGGCTACATTTACCTCCATAACCAGGTGCTTTGTCAAGTCCACTCTTAAAAAGTCCTGTTCACATTATTCTACCACTCCAACATTAAAATCGCTTCAAAAAAAAAAAAATATATATATATAAGGATGACGTCCAGGAAAGGTTGGCCGGCCCCTGTGCTCTCAGTTCAACCCTTTTGTCCACAGCTCAACCGAACTTACTCACATGCACATCCGGGAATACGCATGTAAACCTGCTTGCGCACAAACCACAATGACACGTTTTCTGTCACATGCAAGGACATCAACAGTCGGAAAAGTACCACATATTCACACTTGGACAGCGAAATAACACTGTGCGTTTACACATGTTGCATTTTGTCCTTAAAAATGTCACCGCTGTTCCAAGCGGGTACAGTTCAAAGCCGGAGTACCTCCCATTGTTGCGCCATTTTGAACTATTTCAGCCAAGTGCCCAAAGCGACATTTAAACCGGGTGTAATTTTGCTTTCTCTGAGTGTGTTGCTGCACAGATAACCACAGACCAGCTGCTTCACACCACTGTATGAGCAGATTCACACACCACAGAGAGCTCACTCTCACATGCAACACACTAACACACAATATGAGCAGATGAACATCGGAGAGTGCCTACAAACCACAAAGATGAATCGGATTATCTTCTATATATCAGAGAGAAATTGTATGTGTGTGTTTGTATGTGTGTGTACGTTTGCATGTGTATCGTCACACCCCCCTGTTAACACAAAAACACTGGGGAACAACTGTTGAAAATTACACGAAACAAAACACCAAGCTGGTGATGGGCGAGGGCCGGAGGGCGGGTGTATCGAAAACGAAGTCAACAATGGCACCGCGAGGTGGCAACACACAAAACACCAATAAACGACAGCAACGGTGGCCTAGAAATGACACACCAGAAGCACAAGCATGGCGATGCAAAGAGAGACTGAATGCAACCAGAAACAACGTCACAGCGCTCTTTGCCCCTGCAAAGCCAGTAGACGCCCCCCTTCTGCTCACACACGCCCCCATAAAAAAAAAAGTAATTTCATGACGCATGAGTTTTGTTTGAGAAAAGTTTTAGAAACATCGAGGGGAAACAAATGCAAAGGTCCTCACTGCTGCAAACTGATAACCTCACGCGCGCGCACACACACAGTGCTCATGACGGACTTTCCAAAAAAAATTAAACACACACACACACACAAAAGTCTCTTACCTCCACAGCCTGAAAGAGGCAACAGTCTGGAGAGCAGGATGGCATTTTCACACTGAGAGGCTCTCCAGTGACACAGAGAGACAGAGAGAGAGAGGGAGAGAGAGGGAGGGAAGGAGGAGGAGGAGGAGGAGGAGAGGAGAGGGGGGGAAGGAAGTCAGGAAGAGAGAAAGGGAGGGACAGATTGGCAAGGAGAATACAAGAGAGGTAAGAGGGAAGGGGGGGGGAGGAAGTGACAGAGGAAGGACGAGAGTGAAAGAGAGACAGAGCAAGAAAGAGAGAGAGGGAGAGAGAAAGGGAGAGAGAGAGAGAGAGAGAGACAGCCTGCCCCTTCTTCTCGTGCTGGGCAGCATAAAGGCTGAGCTGCGAGGAGTGGTATGAGCTGCCGCTCCTCTCCTCCCCTCCCTCCTCCTCACACTGGATTAACCCAGTGTGGGATTTTTAAACGGTGAGCTGCTACCTGTCACGTACTCTACACTCTTATCTTCAGGGCTGTGTTCAAATCCCATCACCCTCCACCCCACCCCAAAAAAAGATCACTGTGAGCTCCTTTTACTGATGGCGCCGCACCAAAAGTAACAGTCCCTAAAACACGCCCACAACTCCCCCGTCTCTCTCTCTCTCTC